TTTCTCATAACTTCACGTCAAGTCATCTAACCCAATATTAAAAAAGTTATTCAATTTTGAAACGTATAAAAATATTTATGCACTTCGTCGTACCGTTTAATGTTACTAACTGTATAAAAAAGATTAGCGAATCGCCTGTATTTAAAATCTACTTAACATTCTGTAAGAGGTTTCTGGTGTATCCATACCGACCTTGAAGTCCAAAGTACGAGCGCACACCGGTAATTAATTATCGAGCACAACGAGGGAGTAATTTAATCGCATCAAAGTTGGTTTCGATCAGTTTAAGCAAAGTCTGGCCGATTGATTTCAGGTAACCCAAGCGGAGTACGCGATCTCTACGAGCCCGACTAGCCATAGTGAGGATCAGTCAAAGAATCAGCAAGAGCAGCTCAATTACCGAGAGCAGCCAGTAGATTTACGTCCTCAGAGGCCGTACAAGCCTGGCCGCGATCAATATAGAAGACGGAAACCGACCACCAGCAGCTACGAGCCGACGCCGACGGAAGCACCGATACAGCTTCCAGAAACATCACTTCCAATAACGTTACACGCGGAAGAAGTGTCGCTTCAAACTACTACACAGGAAACCGCGACGCTGGCAACGATCAGTACGCAAAAGGCGAGAACACGAAGACCGGGTGCCCCGTTACGTAGACGAAGACCGACGACAACCACGGCTGAGCCGGAGTCGGCCACTGTCCCTGACTTCCTGAAGTACGACAAACCGGAAGAACCGCAGATCGACGCTCCAAAGAGGAGACGCATAAAACCGACGCAGACATACGACGAAGTAGTGACCGAGAAAAAAGCTAACATACGAAAGCGACCAGGTCACCGGAACAGAGTGAACCCCGGCGAACCCTTCGAAGCTGAAATCGTCACCGAGATCGTTCACACTCCCGTGAACACTTACAGAACTCCCACAGAGTCTATCCAACAGTACAACAACGAATATCAACAGTTCGCAACGAGCCAGCCTAATCAGTTCGAGTATAATTCAGAGAGGACCGGAAACGAGGAAGACAGTACGCAGTCCGTTCCTATAGAATATTATACCGAACTGACGAGGACGAGACCCTCGGAGCAGCCAACTGGCGAGAGCTACGACACTCAAGGTTCTGTAGCCACTAACATTCCCCTGGAGGATTTGTTTGCTAAGACCGACGGCAATTACTTAGACAGGACGTCTTCTTCTTCGACCGCGAGCACCGAAGGTGATTCGAGTCCCGTGACGACCGTCGCGACGACCACGCAGTCGACCACGCAGGCTACTCTCAGCTCGTCTACAAGCAGATCCCAGAAGATCCGACCAATCAGGTACGGGAACGCTACCAGGCCGCGGTTTAGCATCAAGGACTACAAGAGTCGGTTGGACTACAAGAGTAGATTATCTCAGATCTCGACGACGGAGGCGTCGGGCGCTCCAGTGACGAAACAGAGAGGCTCCGGTACAAAGAACCAACAGCTTCAAAATGGTGAAGCGAGGGAGACTACCGGTAGATATAAATACGTATCGAGGATAAATTACAGGACGTCGACTACGAGTCCTTTGACGCCTAAGGATCAGGAACTTGTGGGCGAAGATGGCAGCTATTCTACCACCGAGAGGAGTCGTTTTGTACCCAAGAGGAGACCCATCAACGGGAACGTGTACAGGAGCAGGATAACCGCGACGACTGGTAGTCCTGGTCGGTCTCAGAGTAATTATGACAACGATAAACCGAGCACTGCCAGGCCTGAGAACGTCTTCTCTTCGTCGGTGAGACGACGGCCTGTGATGAAGAGCAGATTACCCGTGCAAAGCTCGACCGTCGTCTACCCCGAGAGAAAGGAAACAGAGGCGACTGAAATGGCTGCGGAGGAAACCAGTTTCTATTCGTCGGTCACGACAACGGGCACGACCAAAGTCGTTGCTAACGAGATTCCTGTTGAAAGGGAGGAAGCGTCTACCAGTAGTAGTGGTTCTGTCAAGTCTGACGAGAGCGAGAACGGAACGAGTTTTCACGGTGAAACTGGACAGCAACCGGTCGCCAGCACGTCTAAGAACGAGGACGAGAGCCAGCTGAGGGAAGGAATCACGGAACAGTATTCCACAGTGAACACTGAGGAAACGACGTTACGCGGCGAGGAGAAACAAGAAACTGGGACCACGTTCGAGATTAGGTCCGAGGACGAGGAATTGTTCGCGAAAGCTTCGCAGAGCGTCGCGGATCTTACCAGTTCTGCTTCGGCGCTGTACGATAAGCCGGGGATGTTTAAGGCCGTCTCGCCGGAGAGTCGAGTAGTCGCGTCGCACTTTAAAATACCTACCGACGAGCCCACTCTGCCTATCGAAGCTTTCTTCCAGGAACTGTCGAAGAAAAGTTAAAAAAAAAAAATGATCGAAAATCGTCGAGTCGATTGGAAGAATTCAAGAGATTTCTGCTGTGAAGATGAGGCGATGGAACTTCATTTGTTTAAACAGAATATTAAATAGTTTGTATTTCAGATCAACAAACGGAGTTCCCTCGTGTGTCGAAGTCATTATTTTCGTTATTTCAGATTACGTAATATGAAATAATGATAAAATCGATGGTTAAAATAAATCAAGAGAATCTATTCTTGCAGCTCTTTGTAAACGTCTGAATAGGAGAATTCTTATTCTACTTCAACCCTATTCACTATTCTCGCGTTCTCCAGCCAGCACCATTCACCCTTTCATGTAAACGCACGGTGCTCCGGCAATCGTGATGATCTATCGTTAGATTCGTATTCTTGTAAAAGAAGAACATACCAAATGCTCGATTAGATTTAATGAAAATTCTCCTCATCCCTATTCTATTTAACTAAATTATTTATTGAACATTTCTAACGTTCGATTGCGCGAAGCATCTCGTTTCTATCGTCAGTCCTGCGAGCTGTCTCGAAAAATTAACATATTAACACTAGATTGCCCAAAGAAGTCATTTTGATTGCTTTTGGACAAATGTACAAATAATAATGCATAA